AAACTCTTTAATTTGGCACCTCTGTGCCAGCCTTCACCCATATGAGCCCATTCCTGACTGACATTGCTTTCAAAGGGAAACTTTCCTTCCTGTCTTATGAGGCAACTTTCCCCATGTTCTCCTAGCACACGGACTTGGGCCCTATAAAGACACTGTGCCTTTTTACGGGTACGCTTCCAAAAGCGTTGCCGCTCTATTTTCCTTGGGGCCACCCAAGTCACCTTCCCATTAAGGAACTTCCAAAACTTGGTACCTTTCTGAGGATGTTGACGCCTGAGTTTTAAGTGTCTGATAACATTGCAGCTACACTGCACTCTCAACCGCCGGTTTCCCTTTACCTTTGAAGGGGTCACGCTTTTACACACAAAAAGTGCGGGCTCTTTTATTGGGGTTACCTTAGACCCTCTCTGCATTCTATGTACAGGCATCTTCTTGCTGACAAAACCTAGCTCGGTTGGTTTCCCCCCGTACACTGCACACTTCCTTTTGTCACTGACATTCTCAGATGACAATGTCCTACTCTCCTTCTGAAGGACAGCCCAATTGTCTTGCCCTTCAGATGCTTTTATGTCAGGGGACCTCTTTAAATAATCCACTTCCTTAAAGTTTTCCCTCTGGGCAGATAAGCCATTTAAAGTTTCTCTTCCCAGAGTACCCTCCTGAACCTGTAGGGGGCCTAATTCAACTGCAGCTTTTAGCTCAGCTGTGTCTACCACATCATTACCCACCACATCACATGTTTCAGGGTTATCAGCACACATGTCCACTTGACCTCAGGTCCATCATAAGGTTTATGGTCACCCACAGAAACTAAATGATCACCATTTACCAGTGCCTCGCACTTTTCCAAATCATCATCATAAACAACATTTATAAGGGCCTTGCATTTTTCCTCATGGTCAGAAACATCCACACCTTTGTCAGAATTAATTTCAACGTTTGGCAGGGCAGTGTCTGGAGACCAAGTGCACAGCGTGGAGTGGTTGTCTCCCATGGCAACGTCGCTATCCACCAGCTCCACTGGCACATGTACCTCTTCCAGCAACTGTCCTGACACCTGACGGTCATAACACAATTCCACATTTGGTTTACTGACCCCAATCACTTGATTTGTGCCATCTGACACTTCCACCAACACTGGCTCATTTGGTATCACACTATTCGATCCTACACCATTGGATCCTTTGTGGGTTGTGGGCACGATCTCTGCTATGTGCTCAATCTCACTTGGCCCGTCCATATTGGGAGGGAGACCATCTGCAGCAACAGCAAGTGTGCCCTTGTCTATAAGCCGCTCTGCAGTCCCTCCATTTAGCACAGCAGAAGTCGTGTCCAGTCCACTGTTGGAAACAGAGGTCCCTTTCAACAAAGCCAACAGGTTTTCAGCCCATCTGTCCCAGTCTACTTTCTCTGCGCTCCAATCAGAGGTACTACGCAGTACCGCACCAACTGCCGGAGGAGACACAGGACAGAGTGGCTCAGCAGACACATCACATATATCACTTTTGTTCAACCAAAACTGTGGCACTAAATTTTTAACCTCAACAGGTTGCAATACCACACCCTCACCACCGTACTCTGATGGCGCTTCATTCACCTCATGAACACTTCCATACCTATTGTCATTACTGACAGACTCCATTAACCCATTATCACCAGGAGCATTTTCAAAAATTCCAGTTTTAGCATTTAAATTATCAAGTACTCTCTTGTCCAGAGCAGCACCATAGTTGTCCAAGGCAACCTCTGGCTCCAACACACAGAGCTCCCAGGAGGTTTCCATGGACACCTTTGCAGCTTTGGATACTGTTGCCAAGGGCAACAACATATCTTCAATCATATTCATATAAACACTATTATCTTTAGTGAGCTGTGCTAGCTCATCACCAACCATAACATTATATTTACCAACAGTAACACTTTTGTCGGCATGACCATCAGCATTCTCATTGCATATAGACATCACTGTGGTTTTTGCAGGTAATCCCTGGCTATTACCCAGCTGAGCAGCCTGTGAGCCATGCTTCACAGCACTCTCTCTCTTTAAAGGGACACTATATTCAGTTTTAGCAGCTCCATAGCTGACCTGGGAAATCCTCTGCTCCGTCACTGCGGGCTCCTGGGAGGTTTCCCTGGGCATCTCTGCAGCACCTGGCACTAGGGAACACGGTGCCATGACAGTTTTGGTCACCCCTAGTTTACCTTCCCCAGCCATCTGCTGGATTATAGCAGGCACATGCAGAGTCCCCATGTCCTTTTCCATATTTAGTCCTAATCGTTGGGCTTCTCCCTGTGCCTCCCCACTACTCAGGGTAGCACACAGCAGCCAGTCCATGTCCATCTGTATTGTGGAACTCCCTGAAGGACACACTCTCACTTCCTTGGAATCAGTCCCACAAACTGAAACAGTCTTACCATTTCCTGCAGCAGGTGTCATAGCCTTCACTTGAGTGCGTGGTCTCTCCTCTGTGGTTTCTCCACAGGCTGACTTCCCCAAGTGGTCACGGTGCAACACTGCAGCCATTCCGGACCAACTTACACCCCCTGCAGGTAACACAAGATCCCTGTTGCTAGGGGTAGCTGCCAACATTTTTAAAAATGAATCTGGGCTTGCAGATGAAGCCTTTTGCTCAGTAGCACCCTCATCAGTGGTATTCCATAATCTGGGGCAGGTAAAGATACCATGCCCAAACTGACCACATTCCAGGCAGGGTATGGTTCCACCGATAACCTTCTTGGGATACGGAAAGACATCTCCCTTGTAGCCCCCTTCTCCTGGTTGCCAAGCTTTCTCCTGTTGCTATGGGAGATGGCACTCTCCCAGCTGAACTTTGTGGGTTCCTCCAGATGCGCTGAACTCTCATTTCTGCGTTGTCACAATCCTCTGCAGACGACACTCCTCTTACAGGGTCCGCAGGCCTGAAGTCACATGTGTTGCTATGGGCAACCACATTCTTCTCAAACTTGTGGTCAGGCTGTCGCTCCTTCCTTGCACTCAGAGCCGGCTTGCCTAACACAGATGCAGTCCTTTGCTTTGATATGCAACTTTGCAATGGAGGCTGACACAAAGGGCATTTAGAGACAGTGTGCCCCCACTCCCTGCACCGCAAGCATCGCTCTTGCCAGCGTGTCTTGTCCAGGCTCCCCACATTGCAGCCTTTTTCCAGCTTAGGACTCTGCACATTCATAGCTGGTCTCCTTTCACCAGTGTTGCCAGCAGCAACAACATGCACTTCCCACTTTGGCAAACTTTGTTCATCCATGTATGGGGCTCGTTTCTGGTGATAACAACCCCTCCAGCCACAGGGCTCTGTCTCTCATTTCAGCAAATCTTGCTTCTTTTTTTGCTTTGACTGCCCCATCTTCACAGTCACTTCACAACACTTTTGCACAGTCCAGCAACAAGAAATGAAGCACTGTCTCTTTAAGGAAAGTTCCTTTTCTCTCATCTCCTCACCACACACACAGATGTGCTGTCCATTGCACCAAACACAGTTCATAACACATGAACTTACTTTTGCAGGGATCTCTAGTTCTGCCCACTGCATCCTCCACCATATGTGGGAACTCGCTTCTAGTGGTAGAGCTCTTCTTGTTAAACACACAGCAACTCGCTTTCTTTTCAGGGCTTTTTTACCCACTTTTATTTAAGAAAGTTCAAGAAAACACAAATGCTTCCCACGCAGGGGTATCCACCATCAAACACAACAATATTCAGCCTCCTGGCTTGCACGCAGTTTTAAGTCTGCCTCCTGCAGACTCTTCCCAAAGTATGGCACTAGCACACAGCTAGTCTGGCTTCCACCTGACTCCACGGCAGAGACCTCCTGCCTGCCGGGGTGGAATCCTCCTGACTCCGTTTGCCGGGGTGGAGCCCTCCGACTCCGTTTGCCGGGGTGGAGCCCAGACTCATGGCCTGGCCTCCACAAAAAGGCCTGCACACACCTGTGCAATCAGCACACTGGCTGCTCCCAAAATATGGGCCCAGGATTGGAGATTTCATCCCTCCCAAATCTCTTAGAAATCTCCAGGCAACAGGTCCCAAAACAGGCTTTACAAACCAAAGAGGAAACGTATAAACCCGTTTCCTCTGCATTATGAGAACTGCCTGGAGCCCCTCAACCTGCATGGTTGAGAATCGTGGGTCTCCATCATGATTTCCACCGTGGCAGGATACCGCACTGCCACAATATATTATGTTATACCATTTACAGCAATCTCCTATCCCCATAGGTAAAATAAAATTTAGGCATACATTAGTTAGGCCTATTATCCCTAATTAAACTGTCCTGATGCTAACCAGTTTTACATTGCTGCATTCTCTATAGTATCTTAATTTATGTATTAAAACCTCATCCTGTGCTCTTTATATCTAGTATATTTGGGCATAGCCTTGCTCATTGAAAAATTGTCCTTCTGCTAGCCAGATTTACACAGTTGTGTCTTTTGTTATGTCCTAATACTTGTAGTAAAACACCTGCCTGTACCCTTCATCTCCAGCACATTTTCACCAATTTTCCCTCATTAAAAATGTTTTGTTACTGGCCAGATTTATACTTCTGTATCACCAGCGGTCCCTTAATTATGAATGAGAGCTTGACAGAAATCGTCCAGCGACAGGACAGTTTTGCATCAGAGGGAACAAAGACTGCTAGTACTGAACGACTGGCAAATTTCTATCTACCCGCCAAAGGCTTCAAACTGCTTAATAAAAAGGATGTGCTGCTGCTAAAGCTTGTATATTCTAAATGTTGCCTGCAAAGATGCAGAAAAAGAACTTCTCCCTGCTATACAGTATTTAAAAAAAATTCTGTATATGTATGTGTCCCATAGCATGCCTGTGTCTTTTTGACAGTAGTTTGCCTATTAGCCCTAAAAATGACCAGAACACCCTCACACTCCTAGACCTTATTAGGATTTGCATGTAAGTTCGGATTTTCCAAATTTTGATGCAAGGTTCACCAAACCCTTGGCAAATCGAACCCAAACAGGTTTGTCTGTCCAGGGGCGGACTGACCATTTGGAAACTCGGGCACTGCCCGAGGGCCCGGGGTCAGTAGGGGGCCCCATGAGATGCCCCTGGTACCTTTTTCATAGACTTTTTTGAGTTTGGGCAAGGGCACAGGCCCCATGATCACGTATTGCCCGGGGGCCCCATGAGTTGTCAGTCCACCCCTGCGTCCGTCTATTACAATTATACGAACAATGATATAACAGTGAATTTGAAGTTGCCATAGGGAAAGATAACAAACTTCAAAGGGTGGAATTAGGGCCAGCTAGAAACTGTCCTTAAATTTTGAGCACTCATGCACACTTGACATTTTTACAGCGGCTGTTTTTGGATTTTCATGGTTTTTTCTACAGCTAGTAAACCCCCCAGCATGTTATCCTATGTGTCCATGCACACATAGACTATAATCAATGTTTTTTGGCTGAAAAAAAAAACCCAGGACTAGTGGGTTTCTAGAGGACTTTTTTAGCTGTAAAAATGCTCTAACGCTGAAAAACACTGAAAAATGCGGTAACACGCCGCAAACTGGTGTTTTTGGACTTTTATGGACCAAAAAAACCCCTAAAAAACGCGAATGTGGAAAAAAGCTACTAATCACGGGAAACCGCTAATCCACAAACGCTAACAAAAGCTGAAAAACTCACGTTTTTAACATGACTTTACACAGCTAACATTACCAGAGTTATCAAAATGTCCAGTGTGCATGAGGGCCAATTGCTAGATCTTCGGCAATCGAACCTTTTGCTATGTTTTTATGTTATTATTGGAGGCTTTTCGTCCTATTTTTATTTTGTGGTTGTCCCGTCCATAGCAAAATTTTATTTTTACTGCAAGTCTTCCTTTAAAGGAAAAAGGTTGTTTTTTTTTTTCCTGAATTTTATCCTATGCTAATAGGGCCCTTATTTTATGTTTCGGGGGGGGGGGGGGGGGGCTCCAAGCAAGGCATTCACTTGTTACTGACAGTCTGTATTTAAAGGTGCCTTTCGTTTGCAGGACACTGTTGCACCATTTGATTTTGATTCACACCTAAGCTCAGGTTTGCCAAATTTTGAATCAGGGTTCCCCAAACTCTGGGCAGATCGAACGCAAACAGATTCGCCCATCTTTAACAATTATACAAATAATGATATAACATTACATTAGTTGGTTTCTAGGCGCTGGCAGACACTCCAGAAACATAATATAAACATATCCTGACAGGAAATGAATGCTATGTGCTATCAGAGGCTCTGTAGCTGGGAGTCTCTGCAGGTCTCCATACTATGCATATAGATGAGCCTTTTTATAAACTTGGTGTCCCATCAACCTCAGCATGAAGCCAGCTTAACGCAACAACATTAATGTTTTCCATTAATTTCCAGAGTGCCATTTAACTACTGGTGTTCAGTCCAAGGTAAACTTGAGGGCAAGTTCAGCAGTGACAGACTAATCCACATAACCTAATGTGTCAAGCTTTTTTTTTTTTTCTTTAAGTGGAAATCGTTTTTTTTTTTTTTCCCTCCTCATTTCCAGTAAAGCTGATTAAATGCATGCCCTATTATGAATGCCGTCTGTGTGAAATGTCCTTCATTAAGCGGAATTGCTGGCTTTAATTACTTCCTGATTTTTATTAGAAAACTATCTATCTGTTGGTATTTACGTAGTGTTATTTATTTAATATAATTTATCCGGACAATTCATCTCAGGCCTCGCAGCAGGAAATGTGTGAAGGAGGGCCTGTTCTTGTTGTCTGTAGCAACCGGATTTTGCCTTCCATTCTCCAACCCAGCCAAGGTTTCTGGTTTGGCAGGTCTACAGACAGATTGGGATATTTGGAAAAGGTGCCAGCTTTTTTTCTCCTTTCAAAATACAAAATCTGCCTTTTTGCTGTGTGAAAAAACAATCCAGACAACACAAAGGATATAATATATATATATTATTATTATTATACAGTATTTATAAAGCGCCAATAGTTCGCTCAGCGCTGTACATTACAAAGGGGGACAGAACATGTGACAGAACAATACCAATACAATGCAAAACATGAGGGGATCGAGGGCCCTGCTCTTTCGAGCTTACAATCTAGGAGGGAGGGGATAGGGGCACAGGAGGAGATAGCTGTGGGGGATGGAGTGGTAGGAAGAGTGGAGGAGGTTGGCAAGTTAGCAGGGGGTGGGGTAGGCTTCCCTGAAGAGTGGGTTTTTAGGATGCGCCTAAAGGAGAGGAGAGTAGGTGATAATCTGATGGGTTGGAGAAGGGAGTTCCAGAGGATGGGTATCACCCATGAGAAGTCCTGGAGGCGGGCATGGGAGGAGGAGACCAGGGAACTAGAGAGAAGGAGGTCTTGTGAGGAGCGGAGTGTGCGTGCTGGGCGGTACTTGGATATTAGGTCAGTGATGTATATATATATATATATATATATATATATATATATATACACACATATACAGTTGTGGCCAAAGTGATTACGTCCCCCAATTTTGTAAAGGGGTTTTTATAGTGTACTTTTTATTGTATTCAGAATAAAATCCTACAAGGACTCTTTGCTACCCAAATGTAAAGTAAAATGACATACAATTGTTTATGTAATACATAGTAAATGGTTCTTTGTGTTTCTTATAACTCAACACACATCATTAATGTCTAAACCCTGGCAACAAAATGACTACACACTCTAGAAAAGGTTCATACAGGTGCATTTTTCCATCAGGTATTGAAAACACCTGTGGATGTCACCGAGCAGCAATCAAGCATAATAAGCACCAATTGGGGCAGTTTTAAAATTGGTGTTATTCAGCTCACTTCTAGACATTTACTGGTGTGAAGTTACAAACATGGTGAAGGCAAGAGAATGGTCCAGGAAGACAAAAAAGAATTTTCTCTTACAGGAAGGGCAATGGCTATAAGAAGATTGCCAAGATGAAACATGAGCAAGAGCATGGTGGCCAAGACCATCGCAAATTCAAGGCCAGGGCACTGTTTCCACTCAGAAAACGCTCATGGTCGTGGCAGAAGTTGATGCTGACTTCGATCCTGCTGTGCGCTACCTGGGGAAATAGTAGTATGGAGAGAAGCCGGCCGTGTGCTGCAGAGGTTGAAAAGATTTGTCAGTGGTGGGTACAGAAGCTTGTCAGCCAGACAATAACAACGCACACTGCGTAATTGGTCTGCATCCGTCTGCCGAACTCCCAGGCGTACCCCTTGCTGTCTCCAAAGAATAATGAAGAAACGACTGCAAAGTTTGCTGAAAAAGCCATGTGGACAAACCATGGAAAGTTGTGGAACCAGTGTCTGTGGACTGATGAAACAAAATTAAACTTATTTGGGTTCAGATGGATCAACGCTATGTTTGGAGGAGGAAGAACCAAGGCCTATGAATACAAAGACAAGTGTGTCTTGCCTGTGAAGCATGGTGGAGGGAGTCAATCATGCTTTGGGGCTGTTTTGAGTTCTGCAGGTACAGGGAAGCTTCAGCAGTGTCAAGGTACCATGAATTCTCTTCAGTACCAGGAGATATTGGAAGAAAGCATGCATCCCTCACTTCACCTGAGGCTTGGGAGGACGTTGGACCTTTCAACAGGACAATGATATCCCAAGCCCAACCTCCAAGTCCTCCAAGAGCATGGTTGCAGAAGAAAGCTGAGGGTAAAGGTTTGGAGTGGCCATGTCGCAGTCACCAGACTTAAATCCGATTGAGCACCTCTGGTGGGACCTCAAAGAAAGGTGTTGCAGTGCGCAAGCCTAAGAATGTGCTGAACTCCGGAGGCCTTTGCCCATGAAGATGGGCGAAGATACTCCAGTAGATCGTGCAAGACACTTGTGTCAAGCTCCATGCTTCACGTTTAAAAGCTGAAAAATAACTGTGGCCACACAAGGATGCTGTACTTTGGTACTAATTTGAATGTCACTTAGGGGTTGAATAAAACTGATAATGCTGTGAGCACAGAAAAGGCTGTGTGTTGGTTATTTTGAGGGGACAACTGTTATTTATATTTGTCTGACCTACAAGTACACTCTTTAATGTCACATGTAACAAAGTTTGACTTTGATCAAAAAGCAATGTCAAACTGGATATAAAACACTCAATTTCAATGGGGGTTGTACTCACTTTGTGGCCACAACTGTACATATATACATATTCACACAGTATCTCTCAGCAGTGAGTACGTCCCTCACATTTTTGTAAATATTTTATTAATCTTTTTATGTGACAACACTAAAAAATAAGACTCTTTGCTACAATGTAAAGTAGTGGGTGTACAGCTTGTATAACATGTAAATTTGCTGTCCCCTCAATATAACTTTGAATTTCAACACACAGTCATTAATGTCTAAAACCGCTGGCAACAAAATGAGTACACCCCTTAGTGAAAATGGACAAATTGGACCCAATTAGCCATTTTCCGTCCCCGGTGTCATGTGACTCGTTAGTGTTACAAGTTCTCAGGTGTGAATGGGGAGCAGTTGTGTTAAATTTGGTGTTATTGGTTTCACTCTCTCATACTGGTCACCAGAAGTTAAACATGGCACCTCATGGCAAAGAACTCTCTGAGGATCTGAAAAAAAGAATTGTTGCTCTACATAAAGATGGCCTAGGCTATAAAAGATTGCCAAGACCCTGAAACTGAGCTGAAGCACGGTGGCCAAGACCATACAGTGGTTTAACAGGACAGTTTCCACTCAGAACAGGCCTCGTCGTGGTCAACCAAAGAAGTTGAGTGCACGTGCTCAGCGTCATATCCAGAGGTTGTCTTTGGGGAAATAGATGTATGAGTGATGCCGGCATTTGATTGCTGCAGAGGTTGAAGGAGTGGGGGGTCAGCTTGTCAGTGCTCAGACCATACAACGCACACTGCATCAAATTGGTCTGCATCTCTGTCGTCCCATAAGGAAGCCTCTTCTAAAGATGATGCACAAGAAAGCCCGCAAACCATTTGCTGAAGACAAGCAGACTGAAGGACATGGATTACTGGAACCATGTCCTGTGGCCTGATGAGTCCAAGATAAACTTATTTGGTTCAGATGGTGTCAAGCGTGTGTGGCGGGAAACCAGGTGAGGAATACAAAGACAAGTGTGTCTTGCCTAAAGTCAAGCATGGTGGTGGGGAGTGTCATGGTCTGGGGCTGCATGAGTGCTGCTGGCACTGGGGAGCTACAGTTCATTGAGGGAACCATGAATGCCAACATGTACTGTGACATGCTGAAGCAGAGCATGATCCCCTCCCTTCGGAGACTGGGCCACAGGACAGTATTCCGACATGATAACAACCCCAAACCAACCTCCAAGAAGACCACTGCCTTGCTAAAGAAGCTGAGGGTAAAGGGTGATGGACTGGCCAAGAATGTCTCCACACCTAAACCCTAGTGAGCATCTGTGGGGCATCCTCAAACGGAAGGTGGAGGAGCGCAAGGTTTCTAACATCCACCAGCTCCGTAATGTTGTCTTGGAGGAGTAGAAGAGGACTCCAGTGGCAACCTGTGAAGCTCTGGTGAACTCCATGCCCAAAAGGGTTAAGGCAGTGCTGAAAAATAATGGTGGCCACACAAAATATTGACACTTTGGGCCCAATTTGGACATGTTCACTTAGGGGTGTAGTCACTGTTGTTGCCAGCGGTTTAGACATGAATGGCTGTGTGTTGAGTTATTTTGAGGGGACAACAAATTTACACTGTTATACAAGCTATACACTCACTACGTCACATTGTAGCAAAGTTTCATTTTTTCAGTGTTGTCATATGAAAAGATATAATAAAATATTTACAAAAATGTGAGGGATGTACTCACTTCTGTGAGATAACTGTATATATACATATTCACACCTACTCACTGACCACTTTATTAGGTACACCTGCTCTATTGCTTGGTAACACAAATTGTTAATCAGCCAATCACATGGCAGCAACTCAATACATTTAGGCATCTAGATGTGGTGGGGATGACTTGCTGAAATTAAAACCGGCATCAGAATGGGGAAGAAAAGGGATTTAGGTGACTTTGAATTTGGCATGGTTGTTGGTGCCAGACAGGCTGGTCTGAGTATTTCAAAAACTGCTGATCTACTGGGATTTTCACACACAACCATCTATAAGGTTCACAGAGAATGGTCAGAAAAAGAAAAAATATCCAGTGAGTGGCAGTTGTGAAGATGAAAATGCCTTGTTGATGTCAGAGGTCAGAGGAGAATGGGCAGACTGGTTTGAGATGATAGAAAGGCAACAGTAACTCAAATAAGCACTTGTTACAACCAAGGAATGCAGAATACCATCTCTGAAAGCACAACACATCAAACCTTGAAGAGGTGGGATACAGCAGCAGAAAACCACACCGGGTGCCATTCCTGTCAGCTAAGAACAGGAAACGGAGGCTACAACTCGCACAGGCTCACCACAGAAGATTGGAAAAATGTTGCCTGATGTCTGACGAGTCTCGATTTCAGCTGCAATATTCAGATGGTAGGGTCAGGATTTGGCATAAACAATATGAAAAAGTGGATCCATCCTGCCTAGTAATGTAATGTACAGCGCTGAGCGAACTATTGGCGTTTTATAAATACTGTATAATAATGCAAACTTAGTATCCTACAGCTCATGAATGTGCAGCCGACAAATCTGCAGCAATTGCGTGATGCTATCATGTCAATATGGACCAAAATCTCTGAGAAATGTTTCCACACCTTGTTGAATCTATGCCATGAAGAAATAAGGTAGTTCTGAAGGCAAAGGCGGTTCAACCCGATACTAGCAAGGTGCACCTAATAAAGTGGCCAGTGAGTGTGTGTATATATATATATCTTGCCCCCATTTAAAAACACTACAAGTACAGAAAAATACCAGTTGATCTGCTAATAATTTACTTTGAACCTAAGTCCTGCTGTGAGTGAGCAGCACAGTGTTTTGTGGACTTTTTTGGTGTCAGCCCTGCCCAGTTGTCTTTTGCTAAACAACCTAAACCTTCCCCCTATGTTGTGCTCAACAACATAAAGACTAATTGTGCTGTGGTCCAAGATAAGAACTCAGTGGGCTAAATACCCTCCTTGAGATAACACAGGAAGTATGTGCAGGACAACTACGATTTTCTGAAAGGTCAACAGGTATTTTTGGCACTTCTCTAACAGATATAGCAAAACATTTGTAATTGTATATTTAATAGAACAAAGGTTAGCACATAACAGAAGTTAATTGTTAGGGCTAATTCACACCAGTTGCATCACACTGTTCATGTTTTTTAACCAACTTTACTGAAATTTCACACAGTGAGTTGTATTGGCAACTGCACGGTATAAGGCAGTGGATTGCCTTGTATTGAAAAAAAGAACAGCAAGATGGTGGTGTGAACAGGGAATGAAGGAGACAAGGCATTTAGCCTAATCTTGTAGTGCGACTGCACTAGAATAGCCACCCAATGCAGTCCCACCACATCTGGTGTGAATAGATCCTTAGGGTTTATATCCATATTAATGAACTTGCTAAAAAAAAAAACAACTACTCACAGTACCATGCAATCATCAGGTGAACAAAAATGAGAATGTAAATATCTATGCTGCATCCGAGGCATAGCTTAGGGGGAGTCTAAGGCTGAGGCCATTCACATCTTTCTTCATCTGATGAGGTGTCAGTGTGTGGCATCTCTCTGTTCTTACATGTTCTACTGCTTGCTAAAAAAAAACTACCTGCGTAGCATATGACATAAGGTAGAGTTGTAGTTCAAAAGTCACACGGTGGAGGACAAAGAATAAAAAAGGACCTTACACAGACCTATTACCTCCTTTATACATACCTTTTTCGCTGCTCCCCCCTTTCTCCCTATAAGTGTAAAGGAGCCCTTAGGGCAAATATAGGATTATCTGCCCATCTCTAAGCAACATCTGTTCTAATCTGAAATGGTCTAGTGCAGCCTCTCTCAACCAAGGTTCATACTGTAGTTGATAGGAGTTATTTAAGCAGTGAATAGATTGATCTCCCATCTACATTGACCACCAATGTAGAAGGACATTGAAAAATTTTCCACTAACCACCAATGTAGGACACTTCTATACTGACCAGTGAATGTTAGTGGCAGGGGCGGACTGACCATTTGGGCACTCGGGCACTGCCCGAGGGCCCGGGGTCAGTAGGGGGCCCCATGAGATGCCCCTGGTACCTTTTTTATAGGCTTTTTTGGGTGTGGGTGAGGACAGGGGGCCCCATGATCCCCTATTGCCCGGGGGCCCCATGAGTTGTCAGTCCACCCCTGGTTAGTGGGCACCTCAAGTTGTACTGCCTATGCATCTTTTATGTTATTATCCATTTCTGTTTAAGATTGTTACTAAAAAATGATTATGTTGCAATCCTGACCTGGATATTAAATACACTAGGTACACCACATTAGTTATTTTATTTAAACCTTTTTATAATTGATTGTTTTGGCGCACATTACCACAATGCTATAATGTGAAGGCGGTGTTAATAAGGCAAATGCTACTTCAGTAAAACAGGAGTTTTTTTTCTTTACACTCTTCATTCAAACAACAGATTAATTAAACTTTTGAACAAAACGTAAAAAAAAAGATCACACTCCGATACAAGTAGAAAAAAATAGTATTTCTCTTATAAAATATATGAACAGTGTGGAAAATTAAACTCAAAGACAGACTGTAAAAGAAAAATACTGCAGGCCTACAAAGGAAACAGACATTTAACATGTTAAATCAACACAAATGTGTATTTTAAAATCAAATAGGAACATAGCTGCGTCAAATCCAAACAAGGCTTCGAAACCTAAGCAGCATTGAAGGCCCCTCTCTGAACTGTGGCAGGATTTCTGTTGATGTGCTTGGCCCCAGTTCAAATGATTTCTTTCCTTTTTAATAGTAAGTCATACAGACGCTGTTTTTCCAAATGGTCTGTATTAGAACGCCTTCTATCCCCGGAGAGCAATAGAATCTGAAGCGGAGCACAAATCAATTCTCTTAATTAGAGCTTGTCAAGACATTTACAGGCTGGGAGAGAGCTGTTGTGGCATACACTGGGTGGATTCCTCGGGAGCATTCGACTGAAAGCAACTCCCCAAATAGACACCTACTGAGCCACGCTCCAATTATCTCCTTTGGGTTTACCACTGGTTTAATCACATTGGTTATGGCCACTTTGTGAATCATTCTCCTGTGCATGTTCACTTTCAATCTCTGACACTCTCAAAAAGTGGATCAATTTGCCCTAGCTGCCTTCTGCATATAGCAGCACGAAGAAGCAGTTAACCAACCTAATCACTTGCGCTCTAGGATATAGGTACTGTATGTAGGCACAGGATCTAAGGGTTCGTCACGAAGCACAGGAGATTGCAAGTACAACAAGGTACTGTATGTATCTGGGTTTAGGGATCAATAGCAGTTTATTACTATTAGGTGTAAGTTAATGGGAGGATTATTATTATACAGGATTTATATAGCGCCAACAGTTTACACAGCGCTTTACAATATAAGGGCAGACAGTACAATTACAATACAAATTAACAGAGGAGGATTCAGAGGGCCCTGCTCATTAGAGCTTACAATCTAAGACGGAGGGTTGAGAGATACAAAAGGTAATAACTGTGGGCGATGGGCTGATGGACAAAATACATGTACAGTTGTTAGGTGGGTGCAGGATAGGCCTCACTGAAGAGATGAGTTTTCTGGGATCATCTAAAAATGGACAGAGTGGAGATAGTCGGACACATTGGGGAAGGGAGCTCGAAAGGATAGGAGCGGATCTGCAGAAATCCTGGAGGTGAGCATGGGAGGAGGTGACAAGGAAGCTAGAGAGCAGGAGGTCTTGGGAAGAATGAAGACAGCGATTTGGTTGGTATTTTGAGACCAGGTTGGTGATGTAGCTGGGGGCTGAGTTGTGAATGGCTTTATAAGCTGTTGTAATTATCTTGAATTTTCTTCGTTGGGTGAGTGGGAGCCAGTGGAGGGACTGGCAAAGAGGGGTGGCAGACACTGAAAGGTTGGTAAGGTGGATGAGTCTGGCAGCAGCATTCATGATGGACTGGAGAGGGGATAGCCTATACAAAGGTAAGCCAGCGAGGACAGGGTTGCAGTAGTCGAGGTGGGAGATGACCAGGGAGTGAGTTAGAAGCTTTGCGGTGTCATTGGTTAGGAAGGGGCACATCTTGGAGATGTTGTGGAGGTTAAGGCGGCAAGCTTTGGACAGTGATTGGATATGGGGCCGAAAGGATAGTTCAAAGTTCAGGATTACACCTAACACCCTGGCATGTGGGGATGGGTTGATAGTGGTGCTATTATTCATGTTATGTGGGTGTGCTACTGAAGGTTTGACCTAGTAAATGGACTGCACACTTTAGTTTAAAGGATATGTTCACATTTTAACAAAAAATAATAAATGCATGAGTTGGGTTGATCTGTTGATTCTGACAGAGAAGTCAGTGGAAGGGGCACGTAGGGGAGCCTCAAACTTTGAACCCCTCAGAATGCAAGGTTCCTGACATGGGTAAGGCAATCTATGGTTTACCTAGGCTGAAGCCAACTGGACCCCACTCCTTAGTGATCTGCCAAATCCAGTCCTCCAAGTACTCGGTGAGGGGCTCTGCTGAAGAGAGATCTGATTGGGAAGAGGAAAAAGACCCAAAGGAAACAGATTCTCCCCCCCCCCCCATCAGGGCAGGCTGATAACTTGCACCCTCAGTCCCTGTGCATAAAAAACAAACGTGTGCAGGGAGATTAAACTATATCTAACACCATTATTGTTTTAATTTTGGATTGAGTAGGGAAAGGCAGGGATGTTCGATTCCTATCGCCTGACGCCTGGGACATGTAGTTCTGGGTGCCGGGCAGGTAGTTTTTTTCTACATTTAACCCAGGCAAGCAGCCGGCTCACCTGTCAGGTGGAAGCATTCGGGCAGCAGAGCTTCCACACAGTGTCAGTCCCCCCCCCCCATGAGGTCTCCCAAGCTACTCCGCTTTCCCATCTGCGAGCTTGGGACCGGCTCACAGCCGTCAGCTAGAGGGGAGGGAGGAGAGCGAACACACGTCACATATCCCCCCGCGCACGCCAGAATGAGAGCAGTAATTCTAGCACCAGACCTCCTTCGTAACGCTAAACTGATTACCTATAAGGGGCTTTTATGATGTCTACCTATAGAGAATAGAGGGTATTGAAGTTCATTGCCATTTCACGAGCGCACACAAATTTAAGGTTTGACAAGTTGGATATCCATTTACTCGGTGCAACCTCATCTTTTATATGTCACAACAAAATAGGGTAATTTATTGCTTTTTTTGTGCCCTAAAATTAACTTGTATTTTTTTGCGGTAATATCATGCGACATAAAAAATTGGAACTACCATTATTTTATTCTCTAGGGAGTCTGCTTTCAGAAAATAATGTTATGGGGTTTTCAGGCCTAAAATGGTTTTTTAAACTTGTGCAAAAAATGCAAAAACGGCTCTGGCAGGGAGAGGGATAAAGGATAAGCCCTGACCCACCCTTTACTGAGGAGCAGCCAATCGGTGCTCATTACACTGCAAGGTCTCTCCCCTCCCTGCTAGTCCCCGAGTACGGCGCTGGAGAGAGGCAGGGAGGGGAGTAGGAGATAAACAGCGCAATGTTAAAAATGTTAAACGTTTCAGTCGCCATAGAGCCCCTTTTGTTTTTAAAAGCCCCAGACATTCCTAATATCACCTCCGATTTAAATACAGTTTTGGTTAAAATGTATTTATTTTTTTTATCTGGACAAGTAGCTAAATCTTCACTGTGGGGACACAGGGAACAATAAAAAACAGACAAGTATTTAATTCCTTCCCTACTCTATCAGAGTCCTGCTGAAATGGCAAAATTTCGATTTGTGTGCGGCTTTCCCCGCTTGACAGAGTACAACTACTGATTGACTTCTGTCATAGGGGCACGTTGGAAAACTTTTCTTAATTAGTGACTGCAGCTGTTGATCAGTATATTTTAACTGTTGCCAGAATACAATGTCCGTGTTGCTGGGAATCCTCCATCTCATTTGTGTGGATGGAGGAATCTGTTAGTATTTTCCCTTTAAGCCAGGGTATGGTCAATTCAGGTCAGTTTACTCCTAACTTAAAGTTTAAAGCCAGGGGGAGATCGACTTAAATGTTTAGATCAAGTGATGTGCTATGGGTTAAAGGCAAAGTGTTGAGAGGTACACATTAGGAAGTAGGTTTAGAATTTGTGTAAGGGAAGGCTTAAAGGATAACTTAAATTTCCTAAGTTTACACCCCATATCCCTCATTCATCCAAAGACTTATACTTCCCTGCCCACGCTTCTGCCAGATCCATGTTATATGGTCCACGGGAGTCCACCAGCTACCCCCACAAACTCTAGTGACTGGTCCCTTATTTCTTCTGCGCATAAAGCCTATTCATTCTTCTGGAGAGGCCATTCAATATGTGTACAAACAAAAAATAGCTTCTCCATAGAAATGAATGATTGTTATTTGTCTGTGATTGCAGAGAACAGTTAAAGGGGTATTAAACCCTCAGTTTTTAAGCACTTTCAGCAGCTGATTTAGTCACCCACTGAGTATTTTGTGGGTCTACTGGTTTTTCTATTCACCCACTGAGTATGCTGCTTCTCTTATCTTTTAATCTTTCCCTGTATTCCAGTTAAAGCTTGTGCCATGACCCCTTCCCCAGGTTTCCTGTTGCAGGGTAGTTCCTTACTCTTACAGCATTTTATGGAGTCTTCATTGCATGTAGGGACTAGAGCTGTGCCTCCTTACACTGTGTGCATCAAGAGACACATAGAACCAGTTGCCCAGGATGGCAGAGCACTCTCCTGATCCTCTGTCCTCATCCAAGCTAACAGATTTGCTCCAGACTGCACTGTCAACTCTTGACTCCTCCCAGTGAAATGGGAAGTTCAGAGAAGCAACACTGAAAAAGCTGGAGTTAGCAGCTTTGAAAGTTGCAAACTGGAAGTGCTCGAGTAACAATTTTAACAAAGAGTTTACAGGGGAATGTTTATTTTATCATGCTTGATGTGTTCAGCTAAAAAACGCTGAGGATTTAATACTGCTTTAACCCCTTTGAGCCGGTGCCTCCCGGCCCTTTAAGAGGTTCAGAAGCCAGGAGGCAGGGCGGGGTTTTAGGGTCATGTGACCACCGTGATTCGCTCTCACGGCAGTCACATGATCGGAAAAGGTCCCGATCGCAAGGGGAGATCGAGACCTTTCCGTGAGTCACAGACATATGTGCTGGGAGCGTGATCTCAGCACATACGTATTTTCAAATGGTACGCAAATATGCGGCCGCTCGGTATCAAGGCCCAGATGCCGAGAGGCCGCACACTTGT